TATTGTAAAATCTATGAAATCAAAATATATACTAATTGTTATCTTTATTTTTTAACAATTAAATGAAATAAAATTAATATTTTAAACCAAGCTAATAACAACAACAACAACAATCAGCTTCTCTCGAAATTTTGAATCTGTAAATAATTTATTCAATAGGATTACAGTTGGTTACATAAGGATGTAACATGATATAGTGTTGAAATGTTGTTTCCTGCTCAAAAACCTTAGAAAAATAAATTTCAGCTATAAAATCAGTTGAGCTAATTTATAATAGACTATGTGTCCATTTGGTGTGGTTGGCACTCTTTTAATAGAAGTTTCGTTTGAAAAACTGTTGTAAAAGTGTTATTTTTGTAAATAAAAAAAAATATGTTAATTTTATTAAAATTTAAATGAGAAACTCCTATAAAAATACTAATTTGATGCTTTTGAAATTTGTAGTGAAACGAATAAAAAACTAATTTATAAAAGTTGTAATATTTTTCACAAATTATAACATTCGATATAATTAAAACTTTTAAAATCCAAAAAAATCCTCACCGATTGTACTGAACATAACTTATAATAATTATAACCATTTATATCCACTATATTACGTATATAGCTAATTATAATTAGGTTTTGACTTTTGTGGCCCAAACATTCATTTCTGGAGCAGGTCGTCTAATTTTTTTATTTTTTTCTCGGCTTCCCTGCAAATGTTTTCCCAGGATATTGGCAACCAAAACCTCACCGGAGGGTTCAGTTTCCGGCCCAAACAGGTAGATATCGAAGAATGGGTTTGATGCATTTTGATTTTCGTTTGGGCTGGGCTTACAAAAACGCCTTATTTTTTGGTGATTTTAAGAGGGAGGACAAACCAAAGCAACATGACTGCTGGCAGTTCTGTGGCGAAGCATTATTTATCCAAATCATTTTCTTTTCTTTTTCCCTCTAACAAGAGGACATTGGTTGATATATTTTTTTATTTAATATGCTATACAATATATTTATTAAAAAATTATTATTTTTTTGTTTAAATAAATTTAAAAAAATATACATCCATGAATATAATATGTAAAAATAAATTAAATTAGATATAATTATATTATATTTTAATAACTAAATTAGGAAGATATCGAATAATGCATTGTATTAAAAGATATACCGATAATATTTCCGATTTTGTTCGGAGTCAACTGGAGCCAGTTTCTGCTGGCACATAAATGATCATTTTTATTGTGAAAGATGCACTTCTACAGATTGGAGTCGGTTGCAGTAATTCTTTTTCCTGCAGAACCAAATCTCAAGCTGTCTTCCGTGTTTTGTTCTTGGCAATTCAGTGGTTGAAGCATGAGAAGCAAGATGCACTCTTTTTGAAGCCTTGCAAAAATTAAAAGAAGGTTTGCCACCTCTCTCTCTCTCTCTCTCTAGTAGCGTGTTTTAGACTACCCCAGTAAAATGTTAAGGTAGCTATAAAAACGTTTTAGACACCAGGATATGAAGTCTCTCTCAAGGTGAGGAGGGAGAGAGGATTTTTCATTATTTATATTATTTACAGATTACATATAGCATGATTTTAGGAATCATTGACATTAAGCCAAGATTACCAACATAAAGAATGCATTTATGTACAACGACCATATTTTGATTAGCTTTGAGATTCTTTCCTATTCTTTCTTTGCATTATTTCCTTGGATTGCTCTTCATGACTTGCTCTTGACCGTTGCTGACTTGTGCTCTTTCTTTGATAATAATTTCCTTGATTTCCACCTTTTGCTTTTCTCCATGATTTCCTTGATTACAGTGGTTGATTGTGCCCTCAATAAGCTCTTGTCACTCTAAGTAATTAATCTGTGTGTTTAACATTTATAAATTTGTCTTTGAATTTTGTGAATGTGGATGCCATTTTTATTAGGTCCAAAACTCCAAACTATTACCCAGTTATCCATACTGATACTGTCCATGCAACTGTGCCTTATATCTTTGTTAAAATGCCAAAAAAAGAAGCTTTGTGTATAGTTTACCTTATACGTAGTCTTACATCATCCCTAATTTTTGTGAGTTATCTGTTATGGTAATCAGTATGTTCCTGATGCTTACAGAACTGATGTTATTAGGATTCATTTCCCTCCTATTAACCGTCTTACAAAGTGTTCTGGTTCGAATGTGTGTCACACCTTATCTCATATCTCATATGCTTCCCTGCAAGAGGCATACTGAGTCCAATTTTCATCTTTCTCAAGCTATAAATAATACAAGGTGTCTACTTTCTGAAGACGGTAGTTTGCAACATTGTACCAAAGAGGTATGTAGTTAGGCTTTAACTTCAACCCAATTGTCTATTTTTCAATATACAGTTGAAACTCTAGGTAGATATGGTTTGCACGTTAGTTTCAACTTTCAAGGAATCACCACCCATATTTTATTCGTTTTCAACTGTTCTGCTCTTTAATGAAAAAATAACTAGTAGAGAAGATCATGCTCATCCAAAGAAAGTGGGATTTGTTCCTATATGCATTAGTTTCTTCTAGTAGAATATTTCTTGGTAGGATTATATAATGTCTCGCAAAGTTGGACCATGTATTTGTAGTTACCCTTCTCGATACAGGTTTCTA